TTTTTTTTTTTTTTTTCGGTAAGTAGTTGTCCTACAATCGTTCAGAAAATTTTGCCCTCGATCCCAACCATAATATCTGAGAATGTCAAGGGAAAAAATGCACAACTTTCTGTGAAAATAAATACTTTATTGGGGGAATTTGGCAACGCATGCATGATCGTGCGGCGTTCTTCCTCATCAACACCTCTTTCACCGTTATTTTGTTCAACTAAAACGAAGAAGGATAAAAAGAAATTCTGTTGAAATGACCGGATTCGGAAACCCTTTTCGGTCTCTTTTAATAAAATGTAAATGAAATACTTTAAAAAAGTATTGGAACATTTGGCATTATAATTGTAGTGGCGCTCCACGTTGAAAAATGTAGGTAAAATCTGAGAATGTCTTTTAAAAAGAGCGGCTTTTTCATCTAAAATAATGTTAATTCTAAAATTTAATTGCCTGAAAGTAGGGTTAGAGGTATTTCTGCACTAAAAGCCCTGCAAGATAAAACATTTACATGGACCATACATATTTTGCAGAAAGAAACTTTTTTATTTGGCTCACCCGTAAAAACACCTGTCCGCACAGGGAATGTAATGGCACACATGTTGTCTCTAATATGAGCCAGAAATGGTAGGTATTCATTGAAAAATACAGTGCACATTGAAACCGCTTTGACTGGCTGTGATCTTGAGCAGATATAATGCCTCTCCTCTAAGATTGTCGTAGATATGACCTATTTTGGACTGTGTTCAGACATGACAAGCATTAAGAAAATAGGTCCTATCTGCAGGAGAGTTAAATACACCTAAGTGACGGTGAAGTTTAATGGATCCTTGTATGGTTTTTTGAGTTTCCTCCTTGCCAAGTTCCCGTACCACTCGTGACCGTCGTCCGATCTGACATATCGACGGTGTGAGTCGGCAATCACATAACTCGGTTTGCGACGTCGCAGACTTCCTGTCATACTTTATTTTTTAAACGGAAAACTACTCAACGGCAATTCTTTAAAACTGCCATGACTTTTCTTCTCTGTGCGAAGAAAATTCTGCAAAAACTTTAAGGAATGTTGTCAATTTATTCTCTTTTAAAAAAGTACCTAACATAGAGGCGGAGATTTTCCCCGCAAACGAGATTTGTGATCGCGGACTTAAGCCGAGATTTTCAGACACCGCAAACGAGATATGTGATTGCGGACTTAAGCCGTCGATTTGTTAGCAGCCCTTTGATAAAGTGCAGTTATGAGTACACATTTTCTCCAAAAATCTTCATATATCTATGACTGGTCTGCCTAATGACGTCCAATTATTTCTTTGTTTCAGTTCAAGATCAGACCGCGATAGACATAAGCCTCCCATAAAATACGATTCGATGAGGTTTGTCGACAGGTAAATTCAGTGATTATCTTCAATGGAAAACCAAAAGTTGAAAGTCAACAATGTTTGTCAACCCTCTATTGCACGAATTAATTTTAAAACAGGAACAAACAACTTAAGTTGTTTGTTCCTCTTCCTGATCTTTCAGAAAATTTTTTTTCTCTGAAAGATCTTTGAAAAATACAGAGTCCCAAATTTTGTTTGGGGGAAAGGAGCTCTTACCTCCTCCCCCAAAATGGCCCCTCAAAGTGGTGGTTACATATATATAGATCCATGAAAGTTTGATAAGAAAAAAAATATGAAGAGAAATTACGTGTATGTGATTCCATGTAACTTTGGTAAAAAGCCTAAGAAAAGACGTCACATGCAAAACATGCGTACCTACGCACATTTCATTGAAAATAAAGGAAAATATTTGTCTTATTGTATCGTTGTCTAAATATTTCCGCCACTAGAGGTAGTTCCATGAGATCACATATATGTTATTCGGTTTTAAAAAAATTCATGAAAAACCCATCTCGCATCTAAAATTTCCAGTCGACACCTAAAAAAAGTGTGACGTGTGCTGCAAATGTACATATTTTTTTCATTGTCACGAGGCCACTCTTACCAACCTAAATCCTGCGCCGAAAATGCGTTGTCAGTGCCGCATCAAAGCCCATGAGTGCAGTTTTTGCTATTTTGAGAAAAACGTGTTTAAAGTTTTTAAATTATACAAAGCCTTAGGGTGGAAAGAGAGTTCAAGCCCACTGTTTAATGCTTAAAAACTGGATTTTACCAGTGAATTTTTCACAGAATTTATTTCCAATCTAGATTTGGTTGAAATCACGATATCTCCATTTTTCTTTCGAATACTGCACTTATGCGCTTTGTCCTTTAAGCCCCTCATTTGTAAGTTTACATAGATCTTGGTACGAGCCCGGACAGAGGGCAGATCCGAAGGCCTATTATATTGGCGCATATACGTAGTATACGATCGTTTTGTCCCCAACTCGATAAAATGTATACAGTGCCTGAGTTCCCTGCCGGAAATGGACTGACCGGCTGGTTTTCAATCTTTAAAAGCTTGTAAAAAAGTGGCGAATGCTTCAATCTTCAATCATGATCAATCTGATCATGATCAAATCTTCATCTGATCAATCAGGTTGATTGATCTTCGTCATAGACTGTATTTTTTTATTGTAAATCCTAGAGTTGATCGGGCTTCGTTATTTAGTTTTTTTTTTAATACTTACAAACCGTGCCGGGCTAATTTAGAATACCTGTATACCTATATAACAAAAGCAATTCAGCCATCCTCAAATATTAATATAACTTCGCTTTGTGTGAAACACCACCTCGGAAGATCACTAGGCCGCAGTTATTTCTTACAAACGTTGGTACCGAAAAATATATTAAGTGAAAAGTTTGAACAGGTTTTATCATATTTATGCGACAGGCCTCTTCATACATATAAAACTGTTTTGACTAAAGACATCCAATTATTGTTTAATTTCAGTTCTAATCCAGGTTCCAGTCCCGCCAGAGTAGATAATCCACCTGTGAAATACGACTCTATCAGGGTTCCAATCGACAGGTAACTTCAATGATTATTCTCAATTGAAGACCAGAAGTTGATAGTTATATAATGTTTTGTTTTTTTTTTGTTTTCTTGTTTTTTTTGTTTTTTTTTTGTTTGTTTTTTTGTTTGTTTTTAATTAAAGAGAAATGTGCATTTGATTTGGAAAGAAAATTGGTTTCATTTTTTTTAAAGTGCACACAAACAAAATTGATTTTATCCGAAGAGAATTTTACTTAAATGGGATAATATTGTTCTGTATATCATTGATTTTAACTCCAAATGAAGTTTTCTCTTTTTACTTCAAAGGAATGAAATTTTGTCATCGATGACAAAGTTGATTTTCTATATTGGATTATACTACGGAGTACCTCTACTATTACTCAATATGGATGCCTGAAATACTCGTACCTACACTACTAATCCGGCTTCGTTATAAGAACTTTTAAGTATCACTCCTAAGAATTCTCCCACCACCACCACCACCATCATCACTATTACTATACCGATGCTACTAATACTTTTAATACTACTACCACTACTACCACTACTACCACTACTACTATTACCACTACTACTGCTACTACTACTACTACTACTACTACCACTACTGCTACTACTACTACCATAACTACAACTACAACTACTTCTTCTACTACTACTTCTACTACAACAACTACTACTTCTACAACAACTACTACTACTACGACTACTACTACTACGACAACTACTACTACTACTACTCCCGCTACATCTACTTCTTCTCGTTCTACTACTACTACCACTACTATACCACTACTACCACTACTGCCACCACTACCACTACTACTACTACTACTATTACTACTGCCACTACTTCTACTATTACTACTACAACTACTCCTACAACTGCTACTACTACTATTACTACTCCTACTATTACTTCTACCACTACTGCTATTACTACTACAAGTGCTACTGCTACTGCTGCTATACTGGTGACTGCTTCAGAGGTATGGATACCCTCCCAAATCTCTGACTTTAGACGTGACTATTCTGTTCAATGCATGCGCCATCCGATTATCGATTGTTCTTTCACTTTCTTTTGTTTTGTTTCATGAAATTGCTACAGGAATAGTCTCGGGGGCTCAAGAAAAGATTATTCTCGCTCTGGGTCTGGGTCATGGAGACGACCTTTCCGGTGGATTCTCTCGGGTTCCCAAATCAAGCGCTCGGGCTCAACGGCCAGCTCCATCGATTGGGAGTCCCCGTCCCAGAGCGGGGGATTCCAGGTCCCAATCCCAAAACCCTACGCGAGTCCAGATGGGAAAATGCTCAAACATCTAAATTCCTGGCATTGGAAGAGCCTCGAGCAACTGCAGATCAGCTTCGGGGATGTCGTCGTCTGCCACCTCGTCAAAAAAAAAACCCTCGAGTGGCGGAAGTTTCATTGGCTCTTGGCAACCAACGAGTAATTCATTTATTACGTCCCTCCTCTTCTACTAGAGTACCTATATTGAGAGAGTATGGCCACTGGTGTTACCACCTCTGATTGGCTCAGCCATCCTAGGCTGAATGGAGCCCTTAGGACCCAATAATGGCGGACGCCGAGAATAAATATAATGCAAAATGACTCAAAATGTAGTTGTTTTTTTTTGCTTATCGTAACGAGAAATTTACTCAAATGCACTATTGCGACTTTTTTACATATTTTTAAGACTAATCATGTGCGATTTTTGGGAAAAATGATCTTAGATGTAGTAAGGTTGGCAGCAAGTGCGGTTGGTGATAACGGTCAAAAGTTGGCAATGACCCCCCTCCCATCCACAAAAACCAAAACAAAGCACCACCATTTTTGGGTCCTAAGCCTCTCCATGTGGCCCAGTGGCCATACTCTCTCAATACAGGTACTCTACTCTTCTACCGTCCTAATGAAAAACGCCGTGAGAACCTTCAGGCGTTGCCAAATTTCCTTTGGTAAATCACGAATTTTCGAGAAAATTCGCAATTATTCTTCCTCCAATTTTTCAGTGAATTTTGTTCGCAATTACACCTAAGTTCCTGAAAATTTCAAGGAAAAAAATTCATAACTAACTATTTTCTCAGAGGAAATTTAGCAACTCTCGAATGTTCATACGGCGTTTCTACTTAGCACGGCAGTCTTGGCATTGTTTCTCTGCGTACTTTTCTTTTTTCTGCTGATTTGGTTTCTTCGCTCGACTTCTCATTTTTTGCTTTTTTTGCGAGATTAAAATTGTTGACAAATTTTAGGACCAACAACAAAGGCCATTTACGGGGATTTGTCTTTTCTATTCAGTCATGTGTAGATGGATTTCTCTTTCAGGAAGGAATTAGGTAAATTCATTGAAGATCTCAAGATCCGACCTATGATGTGTCCCAAACATGCCGGTTCCCTTCAAAGATTGTCAGGCTGAAAAACTTTGAAAGGCAACAGTCAACAATGCCATCGATAAGCCTCTTTCAACTTGGAGAGGTCGGACAAAATTTGGAAACTTTAGAAGCTTATAACTCCGTTTAAACAAAACTTTGAGGTCTTAAAAGTCGTTTCATTGGTTTCCAAAAACAATTTTCTTTCAGAATCACCCCTAAAAATTTAAAATGTAGTGAATTAAACATCGTAATTTGCGGTTTTAGTAAATAATATCATGTCCGACCTCTCCGATTGACTCGGACCACTGTGGGGCGTTTTGGATTCAGCGGGAACGAGAGCAGGTTCTGCTTCATTTTGCAGTTTTGCAATTTCATCTTCATGCACGGAGAAAAAAAACTCGTGCATGGGACCCGAAGTTTAGGTCATATGAATCTCTGAAGTTTTCAGATTGAGCATCTGAACACTTTAGGTCTAGCTGCCGAGGTTCGGATCACACATCTGAAACTTCAGTTCTTACATCTGAAGTACTTCGGTTCTCACATCCGAAGTACTTCGGTTCTCACATCTGAAGTACTTCAGATGTAAGAACTGAAGTTTCAGATGTATGATCCGAACCTCGGCAGCTATACCTAAAGTGTTCAGATGCTCAATCTGAAATCTTCAGAGACCCATATGACCTATACTTCGGGTCCCACGCACGAGTTTTTTTTCTCCGTGTGGGGTTCGAAAAAGTCTTATTCTTCGGAAAAAACCTCCGAGTCCGCTAGAAAGATGCCAGTTCTCCTTCGTTTTTGCGGATACGCAATTTAACCAACATTGAAGTCAGAACAGTCGTATCAAATGTTTTACCTACTTAAATTGTACCCTGAGACGAAACCTCCGAATCGATTATCCATGAACCCATCAAAATGTAAAAGATATTTAATGAAACGATGGGCACATTCCATTGGTTTATTCGTTTTAGTAGTGGTTGGATATATAAATACCAAAAAACGAGCAATTTTCATCAAATTCAAAATTGAATCATAAATAAACTGAGCAGAACTCAGCAGTAAAAAAAGTCATCCGGTATAAATTCATCTTGGTTAGGGATATAGTAGCAACAAGGATCGTTGTATTTAACGGTATGGTACCGACAAACAGCCAAGTTATAAAAATACCCATTGATATTGGCATCAGGATTTCCGTTTCTTAAGAAAGTAAGCACGAAAAAAGTTACATTTTACTTTAATGTTTTGTTTTTCTCAGAGACAGTCTCGTCCATGTCTATCCGAGAGATGACAATAATCACGGCGTTATCGGTGAAAGTAAAAAATCGGAAATTAGCGATAAATTCATGAGATGTGATATCGACAGCTGTAAAAATCTTGGAAATGGAGGTACGTAGACAGTCGAAATCCCGCATTAAGTTATGTTATCTTATAATTTCTAACTATTGGAAAAAAAACCATGCCGATTTTCAGGTGTGAGGTGCTATCTCTGTCCTAATTAGTCGATCACTGAGAAAAAACTATGGCTTATAAACCTATTAGAGGTAAATATGGAACACCACTAATAGTAGTACCTCTACATATAGTAATAGCACATATACCTTAGTTATGGTACGGGGTACCTTAATTAGGTACAGAGACCTTAGTATGGTTCACAGACCGAGAATCATTAGTTTATTTACGACTATTATAGGTGTTCCATATTTACCTCTAATAGGTTTATAAACCATAGTTTTTTCTCAGTGATCAATTAGCCAATTAGGAAACGTCATTTATGACGTTTTTTGATGAATGACCATCAGGGCTTGACAGTATAACGGTTCAAAGACAAAAAAACGGGTCCGAGGAAATAAATATTTAGACCGCCCATCGAATAGCATATCGACGGTGAAAGTCGGCAATCACATAACTCGGTTTGCGACGTCGCAGACTTCCTGTCATACTTTATTTTTTACATGGAAAACTACTCAACGGCAATTCTTTAAAACTGTCATGATTTTTCTTCTCAATGCGAAGAAAATTCTGCAAAAACTTCAAGAAATAATATCAATTTGTTCTCCTTTAAAAAAATGACGTAGAGGCGGAGATTTTCAGACGCCGCAAACGAGTTATGTTATTGCCGACTTTCACCGTCGATATATGGCTTGATCGGTGTGCTGTACTATGGCACATTGGATTGATTTCAAAAAGCGAGCCCTACTGGCACGCTTAAAAAGTAACACAAAATAACACAGGGTAACACTAACCCTCTATAGCATATGTACACATATATGTAATTTAACATATCGACGGTGAAAGTCGGCAATCACATAACTCGTTTGCGGTGTCTGAAAATCTCCGCCTCTACGTCATTTTTTTAAAGGAGAGCAAATTGACATTATTTCTTGAAGTTTTTGCAGAATTTTCTTCGCATTGAGAAGAAAAATCATGACAGTTTTAAAGAATTGCCGTTGAGTAGTTTTCCATTTAAAAAATAAAGTATGACAGGAAGTCTGCGACGTCGCAAACCGAGTTATGTGAATGCCGACTTGCACCGTCGATATTTTCCTTTTTTAAAAATTCTGTACGAGCGCAACAATGTTTCTGAATGCATCTATGCATGCTCAAGGTTGAATTCTATCGGATAAAAATGACGGAACCTCCACCAATGTTGCTAAATTAGGTTAAAAAACGTGTTTTTTCGGAGACCTCGGGCTGCGTAGGTCGGCTCTGGCAACGCATTTTCAGCGCAGGATTTAGGTTGGCAAGAGTGGTCCTAGGACAATGAAAAAAAATATGTGCATCTGCAGCACACTTCATACTTTTTCTGTGTAACAACAAGAAATATTAGATACGAAATTGGTTTTTAATAAATGTAAATAAAGCCGAATAACATGTATGTGATCTCATACAACTAACTCTGGCGGCGAAAATGACAAGTCTCATATATGTCGTTCCATGCAACCGATTGTGGCCGATAAAAATAAACATACGGCTAATATGCACCTATGATTTGATTTATGTTGGCAAAAGCAGTGTTCTCCTAATATCTAATCTCTGCTAAGACTAATATTTCCTTTTTTTTTCAATGAAATGTACGTGTACGCATGTTTTTCATGTAATATTTCTTTTTTAGGGTTTTTACTAAAGTTGCATAGAATCACATATATGTAACTACCACTTTGAGGCCGATTTGGGACTCTATTTTTTTTCAAAGATCTTTCAGATTTTTTCCCCCCCTTCAAAATCCGTGATCCAAAATTAATTCATGTAATAGCCCTAGTGGAAGTCCACCTTGTGCAGGTCCGTGCGGCGGAAGGTTGGTCCCCGTCACCTCCCGTGAGCCCGTGCAGAGGGAAGCGAAACAAAGGCAAAATTTCGGGAATCCCATCCTTCGCAGATGGTCGCATGAGGTGACGGGGGATACCTTCCGCCGCACGGACCTGCACAAGGTGGACTTCCACTAGGGAGAGGGCTAAACAAGGACATTTTTAACTGTGCACTTTGCTCTTCCAGGCTACTTACCCAGCGTCACGTACGTGAGATATCAGCAATGGATAAACAGAATCGTTTTCTACGACGAAAAAAGCTGCTCGAGCTACCATTGGCTCGTCTATTGGGTCACAGGCCACCCCCCGAGAAAATCGGTTCCCGGCGCGTCGAAGGACCTCGACGAGAGATGCCGCTTGGTGGACGCCGAGAAAGAGGATTTTGCTCCAGATGATACTGACTTATTGGTCGTGACGAACATGGGACAGGCAAAGCAGAGGGCAGGAAGTAACCAAGGAGATATTCAGGGCTACATTACAGACGATTCGGTAGTAGCTAGCAGTAGCCCACCTCCTCGAGCCTATAGTAGCCCACCTCCTCGAGCCTATAGTAGCCCACCTTCTCGAACCTATAGTGGCCCACCTTCTCCACCCTATAGTAGAACCCCGCTATCCTATTGAGAGAGGAAGACCGGGGAAATTTACATGTTAGATTTAAACAGATTCAGTCAGGCTGGCTATCACCGAACCAAATCGATTACATAGCCCACCTCCTCGAGCCTATAGTAGCCCACCTTCTCGAACCTATAGTGGCCCACCTTCTCCACCCTATAGTAGAACCCCGCTATCCTATTGAGAGAGGAAGACGGGGGAAATTTACATGTTAGATTTAAACAGATTCAGTCAGGCTGGCTATCATCGAACCAAATCGATTACATTGCCCACCTCCTCGAGCCTATAGTAGCCCACCTCCTCGAGCCTATAGTAGCCCACCTTCTCCACCCTATAGTAGAACCCCGCCATCCTATTGAGAAAGGAAGACGGGGAGAAATTTACACGTTAGATTTAAACAGATTCAGTCAGGCTGGCTATCATAGAACCAAATTGATTACATCTTGCAACAAGGAGCTTTCATTTTTGATTCATCAACAACATTGCTCATCTGACGTAAGGACGTATCTCGATTTTCGCGCGAGCCCTGTTCTCATGGACGCGCTCAAATCAAAATATAAACTACAGGGTGATCCAAAAGTCCCTTCCACCCCCTCTAACTTTTTACCTAATTGAGGTAAAGATTTGAAACTTGGGGGATATTCCTAGGTCAAAGGGAGCTACTTTTTGGCCCCCCTAAAATTTTCAAGGGGGCCCCCCTTGGGGGGGGCAACGGCCCCCAACTTTTAATTTTCAAATGGGAAGACCCCCTTTGTGATAGCTCGTTCGAAAGAGCATAAAAAAAGAAAACTCTTCGCGCAAACCCGAAGTCAATATCTCAAACCATTTCAAAATGGCGGCCGGTTAAAGTTCAAAATGGCCGAAAATTCACACCGGTTATTTGTCGATGGATTTGCGCGAAAATCGGTATGTAGGGGTATTTTGACACGAGAAAAACGAATTTGACGTTAGATTTTCAAAAAAACCAAAATTTCCAAAATGGCCGCCGGTTACAGTTCAAAATGACAAAAAATTGATTTTTTTAGAAATCTAAGTTCAAATTTGTTTATCTTATGCCAAAATACTCTCAAATTCCAAGTTTTAGGCAAATCCATCAGCAAAAAACCGAGGTGACAATTTTCGGCCATTTTAAACTTTAACCGGCGGCCATTTTGGAAATTTTGGTTTTTTTGAAAATCTAACGTCAAATTCGTTTTTCTCGTGTCAAAATACCCCTACATACCGATTTTCGCGCAAATCCATCGACAAATAACCGGTGTGAATTTTCGGCCATTTTGAACTTTAACCGGCCGCCATTTTGAAACGGTTTGAGATATTGACTTCGGGTTTGCGCGAAAAGTTTTCTTTTTTTATGTTCTTTCGAACGAGCTATCACAACGGGGGTCTTCCCATTTGAAAATTAAAAGTTGGGGGCCGTTGCCCCCCCAAGGGGGGCCCCCCTGAAAATTTTAGGGGGGCCAAAAAGTAGCTCCCTTTAACCGAGGAATATCCCCCAAGTTTCAAATCTTTACCTCAATTAGGTAAAAAGTTAGAGGGGGTGGAAGGGACTTTTGGATCACCCTGTATATCTTGTGGACTTGTGACATGAGCCTAGTTACGCATGTATTTTTATGGATCTCAGGATTCATGTCAGAATGCAAACAGTTCCTTTTGATTTAAATACGTCTATATAACTATATGCTTTCCAGGCATAGGCGTATTTAAGCTATTTCACTAGGGCCCCCCTATTATTGGGAGCCGGGTGTCTGAGGGTATGGAATACCCTAGATTTACCATTGGATAATACTATCGGAAATACCTTAAATTTACTATCGAGTAATGTCATCTGGAATACCCTAGATTTACCCGGAGAAGTGCAGAACCCCCCTCTCCTTGACCCCCCTCGACAATTTTCAAATTTACCTCCATTTGAACGCATTTTCAGACTTTCGTAACACAAATTTTCCATTCATTTCTGCACAAAAATTAAGCTTTTTACAGTATTTCTAGCTAAAACTGCTTTCAAATTAATGGATTTGACTTATTTTCTGTTTAATCTTCTCCATTCGGGATTTCTGAGAGGAGGGGGGGGGGGATTACTTGATACTTTTTTTTCAATTCCAGGGGTTCCAGTTGGGGGTTCTGGTTACCCCTACGCCCTTTGATACGCCCACGTTTCCGGGGCTCAAATGAAAATAGAAATGCGCCCTTATGTCAGTTGTTTGTGTCAGTTTGTTTCCTGTTGCACTCTTAATTTTCCGATACGATCCTTGCAAGCGTTTAAAATGCAAAATCCCAGACGAGCACTCGCATGTTTCTCAAAATCGTATTTTGATGGTATAATCTCATGGGTTTACCAAAAGTAATGATACGAATTCCGTTTAAATGGGCTACTTCTAAAATACGTAACTCTAATTTAGCCCTTACCCCTCTGTAACGTTCCATGACCCTGCGCCAAACAGCTGCCATTTGAATAGCATCATTGTAAAAATAATCATCTCATGAAACATATTTTATGAGACCAGTGCATTTCAAGTTTTACAGAAACTATGCCCCCTTCGGCTCCTTTTGCACCGAGCGGCTTTCAATTTTGG